TGGGGGATTTAATGGTGACCGAGGACGTCGAACCATGAGCACCTCCCGTGCGTGAGCCGTTCCGTTATTGGTGTTAGTTTTCATACTGTCGGAGTCGCTGATGACTTTAGTAGGTGCCTCGATGTCGCAGATCGAGTCTCCTTCTTGGTAAGGTAGAATAGTTGTTGTTGTTGTGCCAACTAGTTGGGTTCCGCTATCTTCAGGAACGGAACCTGGCCAGTGGATGATACAGTTTTGCGATGTTATCGTTAGCACGAGACCCTCCTGAGCTCCTGTCAGTGGTATCCCAAGTATTGGATTGAAAGACCTTTCGAACTGTCCCTGATAGGATTTTGTCGTGTTGTCGAGCCCAAATGGAAAAGAACTCGACATTTTGAAAGAACTCTGAGGATAATCCGAGTTGTTTTGGGTTGTGCTCTGGAATCCTGCCAAAAAAGAACTCGGTTTCTTGAAAGCACTCGAATAAGACTTCATCTCGGACACGGAGCTTGAATTCGAGTTGGATGCGCGTAGCCGTGAAATCTTATTCGAATCGGGTATTATGAGCTGCGCGGATCTTCTGGTGAGCTGATCCGTCGTAGTTGTCGAAATAGGAAATTCTTCATGATGATCCGGATCTTTGAGGAGATGGCTTTGAAGCCTGCCGTAGTTGTCCGCCTCGCAGATCCATGAGCCGAAGATGAAAGTTAATCCCGTCGGGAAGATCATGTTATCGAGGTCCATCGAGCTCTCGGATGCAAAGTCGCCGAAAGCCCCTACCTGGCGCGCCAGCTGTCGATGTTTCACCACCGATAGCCTGCCATGGGGGTACCCGGGGCAGTATGTTCGGGCTTCGGCGTATGCTGAACTCGATGGTAAACGCAAGAGACAGTCGATTTATCCTGGTTCAGGCCCTCGATCGTAGATCGAGTAACGACCCTACGTCTAGTCGACGTTAGCCTTTGCGTTGGATTGATTATGAAGTGTTATGTTGTACAATTATCGTCCTCTTCTCTCAGGAGCCATGCCCTCCTTTATATAGTCAGGAGGCCAGATTCCTAGTCGGTTTATAATGAGATTTCCTAGTAGGATTACTTAATAGTTCTACTACTAAGATTACATGGGAAGAATCCTAGTTGAACTAGATCTTCTCTCTCCCTTACGGGGTATCCTGTGGGTCCCGCATCGACAAGCACCTCCTCGCTGTTCTCTAGATACACGTCCTACCAAAGAAGAGTGCGTATCCGGAGAACAACAGGGAGGTGATGCCGAAACTCTGTCTCGGACCAGAGCAGACCATGGAAACTAACCCATCTACGCATCCGTGGGCTGTCCAAAAAACATGGACAATCCAAAATAGATACGGTCATAGATATGCAAAGATCTGCATACCTCCAACAGTATCTCTTTCGAACGGGAGACGCCTAACTGGGTTACGCGATCTACGACCATGATACGGAAAGAGGGGTTATACCTAGGGTGGCGGCGGAGTCAGGCTAGCGGGGCCGTGGCGGGTCGGTGCAGTGGCGAGGAGATGCGGTGCAGGCAGACCGGCATGGCGACGGGAACTCCGACTCGGCTCCGACGGGCTCTTTCTCTACAAAAATGGAACAAAATACTGTCATTTAAAAAAATTCGGCAGAACCTCCCCTGCACGGTGAGGTTTCTAAAACCTGCAAAAAATAACGGCATGATGGTCGACAAGCACATATGTCTCAAGAGAAGCCATGTAGTTTGGATATCAATCCATGTAGAAGAATATATCCAAGTAGTACCACTACTTCTACTACTACTTCCACTATTGCTACTACTACTACCACTAGTTCTACTACTACTACTACCACTATTGCTACTACCACTAGTTCTACTACTACTACTACCACTACTTCTACTACTACTACCACTAGTTCTACTACTACTACTACTACCACTAGTTCTACTACTACTACCACTACTTCTAATACTACTACTACCACTAGCACTACTACTACAACTAATACTACTACAACTATCACTACCATGACAACAACAAGAGAGAGGGCATACCGACGGGCAAGGGGTAGGCAAGGCGGCGTTGGGGTAAGGGGTCGTGAGTCGGGAACGGGTCGGGCATGGGGGCGCAGGGTCAGGCAGGTCCGGTCTTGGGGCGGGCAGGGGGCGGGGCCGGCCCTCCTCCTTCTCCTCCTCCTCCTCCTCCTCCTCCTCCTCCTCCTCCTCCTCCTCCTCCACCCGGCCGTTAAGCTTGGAAGGCTTGGCATGCTAGCCACACGCTTCGCCACATGCGGTGCAGGCCGGGTTTGCTGAGGAGGAGCAGGGGCCCGGCTGGCGTGGGAGGGGGCAGGCATGGCGCGTGGCATCGGTGGCGACTAAGGCTGGATAACGAGCTGGCTCGGCTCGGCTCGGCTCGGCTCGGTCTGGCTCGTTAAGATAACGAGCTAGCTCGGCTCGGCTCGTTATCCTAACGAGCCGGAAAGCCAGCTCGGCTCGGCTCGTTAAAAGCTCGAGCTGGCTCGTTAAGCTCATGAGCTGTATAAAAAATACACAAAATATAATATTTGCATTTATCTAAAGTTTGAGAATAATAATAATATAAAAGAAATGCATTTAGACTAGTTACCAGTCAATTTATAGGGTCTAGACCAGTTACCAGTCAATTGTAAAGTGCAAGACATGAAGTAATACAAAAACTAATATAAGTTTTGATACTTTTTTTCCTGGAAGCTTGGCTCGTTTAGCTCGCGAGCGGCTCACGAGCTGGCTCGAGTTGGCTCGTTATAGCTAACGAGCTAAAATCTTGGCTCGGCTCGTCTCGTTATCATAACGAGCCGAGCCGAGTCGAGCCAGCCACGAGCCGAGCGAGCTAACAAGCTTCGAGTTTTTTGTCCAGCCTTAGCGGCGGCCCAGTGGGTCAAGCGGCGCGGGCGCGTGTGGGTGGGGGTGGGCGGCCAAGCATGCGTGAGGCGGGCGAGGCGGCGCGGCAAGGCGATGTATGCGTGTGCGTGCGTGGGAGGGAGGGAGGTAATAGCGGTGGCCGGTTTGTCTAAGTGGACGGGCCGTTTGCCGAGTGCCCCGATCTGGCACTCGGCAAAGGAGGCCGGTTTTGCCGAGTGCCAGATCGGGGCACTTGGCAAACGTGTTTTCCTTTCTTTTTTTTGAAATCTAAACCCTAAACCGCACTGCATCGTTTTTTAAAAAAAATACCACTTTGCCGAGTGCCGAGCGGAGATGTCCTTGTTTGTAAGCATCGTGCGTGATAACGTGCACTAAACCTTCTCAAATTTTTATCACATCCTCCACATATGATATCATGACATCTCGACAAGTTTTATGATTTTCGGACTTCGTTTGCATTTTATAGAATTTTAAAAAAATTCGTCCGCAAGTTCGTGGTCATGTTTCGTGAACAAGAAGTTCGAAATTTTGGGTCCGTTCCTGGATACGGCCTCACACTATACTCAATACTATGAATACCATTTTTTGAATCATTAAATTCCATTATTCGATGCACGTGCAGTTCAAATTTGCATTTTCAAAAAAAATCAATTAAATGAAATAAATTAACTAAATATAGCAAAAGCCATAAAAATGTACCAAATTTCGACATGGAGTACCAAGTACTGTAGGAGGACCACAGAAAAAGTTTGGATTCAAAAGTGGGGAAAAAATAGTTTACCGTTATTCTTTGCCGAGTGTCAGGGTCTGGCACTCCGCAAAGAAATGGTTTGCCGAGTGCCCACCCGCTGGCACTCGGCAAACTTGGACGGCAGGCGGCGGCTGTTACCTTACGCCGCTTTTTGCCGAGCGCCAGGGTTTGCCGAGTGCCTGCCACTCGACAAAAAGGGCCTTTGCCGAGTGTCTGGCTTTGCCGAGTGCCTGACACTCGGCAAAGCCTTCTTTGCCGAGTGTATATCGTTGCCGAGTGCGGCACTCGGCAAAATAGCTCTTTGCCGAGTGCCCGACTTTTAGCCCTCGGCAAAGAAAGTTGCACTCGGCAAATGTCCTGTTTCCCGTAGTGCGTGGGCCCATCTTCTCCGATCTGCTCCGCCTTGGGGCGCGGGACGAGGCCACCGACAAGGGCGGGGCGGAGGAGGAGGCGAGGTCGTCGGGGTTCGGCTCCCGTCCTCGTCAGCTGAAGTCAAGCCCAGTCATCACAGCTTTACCGTGCGTGGGCCCCACGTCGCCGTGACCAAAGGAAGGAGACCAGGGTAGAAGAAACAGCTAGGGGCAGAAAGGACATTTCTCGTCCTTCTCTCTCCTCGAAAGCCTAGAAATGAATATTTTAGTAGGTCCGGTGTTTACCAGTAAATTTATAAGGAACCAGAGTGTCCACTGGCAAATCGCTAAATTTTGTATATCCGCTAGTAAAGAGGGGTCACTTGGCATGTCTTGTAGCAAATTCTTCCTAATAATAAGCACTGCTAAAACTACCACTAGAGCCATTTTTTACTAAATATTTTCTGAAATATTTTAGTTTCACCAAAGAAACTGCTCAACATGAGAATCCAAAGTCTGAAGCCCTATTAGCTGCTGCTCAGTTTCAAAAAAAAAAAAAGCTGCTTCTCAAAATGAGGAGCAAGGGCCCAAGGGCCTACGTAACAAAAGCCTGGCCTGACCTGTTCTTGGGCCTTGAGCTGGTCACAAAAAGATCCGTTCGTGAATTATGCACCGAGGCCCAGTTGCGCTGCAGCTCCACAGATAGCCCAACAACATCGTGTCGTCGTCCCCGAATGCCCAAGAACTAGCTCAGCGCCGCCGCGATTGTGCCCGGCCTACCGATTGCCGCACCAGGGCCTCGCGCCTCCCCGCCTCCGGTGACAGCGCCGGATCGTTACGCCGCCGGCTTAGCTCCGGCACGGGAACCAACCACGATCGCCCTGGTAAGACATTAGCGCCCTACGCGCGCACCTTCTGCGATCGCGGTGATCTAACCTTTCCTTCTGTCATTCTTTGGCCACCTTGATGCGCTCCTCATCACAAATTAAAGATCCCTTCTTTTTTTTTTCTCCCGATCCCTCCCAGCGATGGCGTCGTCGTACAGGCCGCACGCCGCACCGAAGAGGCGCGCTCTCGTCGCGTCCAACATTGGCGCTCTGCCCCTGGACCCCCTGTACGAGATCCTGCTGCGCCTCCCCGCCAAGCTCCTCTGCCGGCTGCGCACGGTGTGCCGGTTGTGGTGGTCCATCCTCTCTGACCCGCAGCTCGCCGCGGTCCACGCCAAGCGGCACCCGGGGCCGCTCATCATCGCCGCCCTCGATGAGGAGCATGACGTGCTCGTCAACATCATGGATCTGTCCGGGCAAATCTTAAGCAGGTGCGCGGCGTGCCGGGTCAGAGAGTCGTTAGCACGGCCCTCGACCTCGTCTGTCTCAAGAAAATCGATAGCATCAACAGCAGGGACCGATGTTGGAACCTGTTTTTTTGGAGACTTGAGATACTTACCAGATCAATTGCTCAACCCAGCAACTGGAGCTGTGTATCGAATACCAGACGGCTTTGCCGAAGAACATGGGGATGTCGTATCGTACTTGCATTCAGAGCCCAGATATCTGTTTGGTCAGGTTAGCAGCACAGGGGAATACAAAGGTGTTCCGGAAGCTTTTCCAATTTTCCCTTCAGTTTGGAGGCAGGCAGCTGTTTGAGGTCTGCACAGTCACTGTAGCAGCTGCACAGGGTGGAGGGCAGTTGCGCCCCTCGAACAAGGCATTCAGTTTGGTATTTTCACCAGCGTGGTTTTATTTCGCTGTTTCCAAGGTTGCCACATAAGATTTGTAGACTTGGATTGAGAAATGTTCACTATTTCATAGACAACCTGCGGCATTTAATGTATGCATGGTGCTATGATCCAATGTACCGAGTAAACTATATATCAGTTTGAGGACGCTCAATTTATCAGTCATACACGCACGAGGTTCACAAATGCTTCAGGTTTTAGGACAACTGAAATATCAGGTTTACACATGAGGACGCTGAATATATATCAGTTTGCCAACTCTTTCATGCTGCAAAAATTCTCTGATGTCACAACCTTCTTTCTTGTACTGTTGGTGTTGGATCAAGAAACTTGTATAAGCTTGCCCTCAACTAGATCAAAAAACTGCAGCAGCCTGTATCAAGAAACTACAACCAAGATAGCACCAGGTTCAGATAACAACGATTAACTAAAACTGAGATAACACATGCATCAGATTTCAACAGCATATATTTGATACTACTTGACCAACAATTAATAAGTTTCAGATAAGGACCATAGTCTCAGGTTCACTACTTGACCAACCATTAGCTAAAGATAATTGAGATTAACTAAAGGCCAAAGAATCCAGGAGCACACAAGCATCAGATTCACACCAAAAAATCTGTTTAAATTGCAAGTAGAAGCATATTGCAAGTTACTGTATTCAGATTTATATTGCAAGTTTTCTGAATTTTCTACTACATACAACACTGGTATCTGAATTTGCTACTAAAAATAGCATTGCTATCTGAATTTGAAGGATGTCCAGCATTACTCAAAACATGAGGATGCTGACAATATTTTAATCAAGTTCACATCTCAAACATAGAACTACAAGATTGTGCTACTGCAATTCATCAAACAGATCGTAGTAGCTAAGTAACATAAGCATGAGAAAACAATGAGAAATCATAGACAGTGAAAGCTTGGCACTGTCAACCAGAGAAGTGACGAGTGGGGATTTCTGTTCTACTCATATAGGAATTAATTCGAACAAGGCACGTGAGATTACCACATATTTGTTGGTCGATTTCCTTGCGGGAGTTGCCTGCTCCGCTGCAAGAGGCAGATCTGGGCCAAAATCCATCAATTGGAAGCGGCGGCGGCTGCAGCGGGAAGGGAAATCCGACCTGCTTGAGGTTGCGCAGCTGACAGTGGCACAACCGACGGTGGCGCAGTGGGCGGCAGCTGTGGAGCCCGCGCCGCTCGTGGTGGCCCTCCCCGCGCCGCGCCCGTGGCCATCGGAGGCGGCCCTCCCCTCGCCGCGCCCAGGCCGCTCGTGGTGACGAGGGCAGTCACAATGGTGCATTTACCTCAATAATTTGCGATGTAGGGTGCATTTACCTCAATAATTTGCGATGTAGGTAAAATGCTGATATGACAACGCAATTAATGAAAAAAGAGAGTAAAATTATAGAAATGGTTTTCTCACGAAGAAATCAGGTCTTCTCTTGACCCAATGCATAAAAAACCATGAAATCGCCATTGAGGAGAAACCACCAATTTCTAGAGGGCTCGTGCCACACTCCCATCGGAGGAAGAAGATAGAGTTGTGAGAGAGAAAGAGAAAATAATTATTACACAAAGACACCTCCACTGTGGAAGGTAGTTTCTATAGATAATTTCTTATGCTATGGAAACCGCATCAGTTTCTTCTATTGGGACTGCCCTGAAACGAATCAACTCTCTCAGTGGGGTTTCGTGCAATTTCCGACATTTTGAAAATAACGCTCACTCGTTTCGTCCCCCATAAAACGTTTTCCTTCTCTCTTCTTCTTTTCGATACATGCAAAAAGTCTCTTTCGGCTGATGTGGTGTGCACGAAACTTCTATAAAACCTACATTGAGACTGGCCTTAATAGAGTTATTTACTCCCTATATTTTTATCCGCATCATTATATCACTAATGATGACCGAGTTACTTAGGGAGACTTGATAATTACATTTGACCTCGAAACTGAGAAATGGGTGCCATTTATGCGAGGCCCCACGATCAGCTTGCCTGATGCTGCTGCTCAGGTGTTCAAGGACCTTCCAAATATAAAGCAGCTAACATTAGCCAACCTGAATGGCTCTTTAGCTGTTGTGCATGGCCCAGCTCCCAGTATGGACTTTTGGATTCTGATGGACTCTGCTAAGGGTCTCTGGGTCAATCAGTATACCATACAGTTTGAATAGTATGCCAGATTTCAATATGCGCATCCATTGGTGGTATTAGGCGACGGAAGGGTGGTCCTATATAAAGAAGACGTGGTTTTTACAGTTCTATGATCCAAGGACCAACACACTCACGGATTCAATGGAGGCGCGCTATTTTTCCGCAGTTGCTTTGTTCGGAGGAAATCTTCTGAGCTTATAGTTTGTGAGTATTATAATGATGTGAGTGTTCTACTATGCTTATTTTTTTATCTGTTTAAGTCTACTGTACCGGTTTTTATTCGTCTACATGTAACTACATTATGACATGTTTCTTCCATTAACATTCCATTATGATCATTTATCATTTACCTATGGAAAGAAGTAGTCTACTTACGCATGCTTAGAAAGTACTCTGCCCTTTAAAGGTGCTCTCTGTGTAGAAATTGGTAGTGTTTCTGATTATTGTTCTTGAAGATCACAAAACCATTCACATCCCTTTTTTTTGTCAGTATGCCATTGAATGATGTATGATCGAACAATCTTTTCCTAATGTTGGTTTTGCATGGTGCTTTTTTTGAACGAATGGCACAAGGCAATGTCAATTTCATTGAATAAGACAGATGTAATACAAGTAAGTAGCCCTGGAAGGCTACAAACAGAAAAAAGAAAAGGGCAACTGTGGCAACACAAACAACACTAGCAATACACCCAGGGAGGCTGGAAGAAGCAACAACCTAAATGCAACGGATGTGCAACATCTAGAAATTCTTTACTGAAAAAAAGTTGTTGAAATGGGCCTCTTGAGTTTGAGATTGTCACGAACATTGTGCTTGAATGAATAGTTGTAAGGGGTCTGTTAAATTTAGAAGATTGTGTGTTGCCAGATTATGTTGGTTGACTCAAACAGTGTACCTGTGAATGAGGATAATCCATCCTTGAATGAATACTATTTCGCTGAACTTGCCATTTTACTTGAAAGCTCTTGAGTAGCGAACCTCATATTCTCATTGTTTGATGTAATATATTTGTGTATTTGACATCCCTTTTTCTCTGTTCCATGTTCAGCTTTTTGTCGCTGGGCATAATTTAGGGCAAACTGCATTCTTACCAACATAAGCTGCAAATGTAAAGCTTAGGATACTAGTAGCTTAGCTAATAATAGGATAGAATTCCCAAATCTAATTTGGTAAGAACAGACTGGATAGCTGATAGATTGAGATTTCTTCTTGTTGGACAAGGTCAATTTGACTCTGAGCTGAACATCATCAGCTAGAGGAAGAAATTAAGAATTCTGTACCAAGACTAAATCTGGGATTCATATAGGCCACAGAGCAGATTTGTATCGTTTTGGTTTGATTCTTCCATTATTTGTTTTCAACTCTTCACTTGTTTATTTCAGGCTGTGCCAGGGTTGAGTATTTATGGCCAAAATCATATAGACTGAATTCTATCAAAATCCTTTTATCCTCTTATCCAGAAGGCTCAAACAGTGATGACTCTTATCGTTAGCAGCTATGCCTTACCAAATATCTGAAGGAAACAACGAATTAAGACTTTTGGCGAATACTGTCAGCTTTTCCATAAAAACAATTGATGTTCTGCTGCTGTGTGTACTTGACAGAAGCTAATGGAAATAATCCTTTCTTAGTGCTTATGCATCTTGGATGATCTTTTTTTTTTTGGCTAGGCTATATTTTTATTGCATTACTGCTCATTGTTACTTTAGGCGACTTGGGGACCGCTTAAAATCACATCTGCGGTCGCCCCACGTGAAAATTGATAACACCGTGCCAGACACCCCACCGTAATCGACAATTGTTTTCACTGCCAAAGACACAATGGGCGTGAGATTGAATTAGCGTTCGCGTTTTCTGTACCACGCGGTGGACATGCCCTTAGTGATACATATTGAAATTATTTGGTTTATTACTATTTGTAGTTCCATAATTTTCTATAGTAATTGCTTTGTTGTTGCATTTATGATACCGTCTCTTCCATTTCTAGAAAAAAAAACTGTCAGCTCACTGTTTTACTAGGGAATAATCGTCCTGTTCGTTTGGGCTTGTTTAGCTGATAAGCCATGGCTGAAAGTACTGTTGCCTGATTTGGTGTGAGAGAAAAATACTGTTCGTTCGCTGAAAAAATACGGCTTATAAGCCAAACAAGCCCAAACGAACAGGGCGAATATCATTTTGCTTCCGACCATGGAGGTTGTTAGTCTACTTGCCCTGGGTAGCCTTGTGGTCGTAGCCCAACATGTCTAGGAATTGGTGAAACAAGATCTTGAAGCTAAAGGCATTCTTTTTACCTTTATATGTCTAGCAGATATTCTTAAAAGAGTAAACTTCACAAAACTACAACTATCTGCGTCGTTGTTTCAGAAAACTACAAGAACTTTGTACCTTTGTTTGAGAAAACTACAGACTTTTGTGCACGGTCCCACCTGTCAGCTTCATAGTGACCCTTTTTCATATGTGAGGTTAACTGGTCGGGCCAACCACAAAAGTTGTAAATTTTTCAAACGAAGGGTAAGACTAGTTGTAGTTCTCTGAAATTGCCCCCCGAGAGTCGTAGTTTTCTGAAACAATGATGCAAATAGTTGTAGCTTTTGTGAAATGTACTCTAATAGTCATGATTGTCCTTGCGCAGTCAAACATATGCTAAGTGTAAAACTACAATTGTGGACTGCCACAGAACCGGGGTGGTCCTAGACTGATTACATGTACAACATAAAGCTTATTCAACGCTTCATCCACAGCAGAGACATTG